TATAGAAATATTTAGTTAAAAAAATATAAGACTTGTGATTTTAGAGTTTCGATTTTCTAGAAAATAATAATTCATCGACGAAGATGTAAGATGACAAATCTAATTTTAAAAAAATTCGTACATATTTAGACGATGATTCACGAAGCTCAGCTCTCCGTTTGTTATTTCAAATTCATGATCTTCCATCTGCGCTGCATTTTACAAAATAATCTAACTGTATTTTCAAAAGCAACATTCGTTTCTATTGCATAATAAGCTATTGTATGAAAATTAACTAAATAGTAAAAATAAAAATCACTGTACTCCATTTTTATCAAAATGTTACAGAAATTTTTATCAAAACATTACGGATATTATCATTAGTTTCAATTATTAAAAAATGTAAAAACGAATAACACATCCGTTATATGAAGAAAAATAGATCATTTATTAGTGACACCTGCTGACAACTAAACACGATTTAACATTTGCGGAGTTTGGATTTCTGCACTAGTTCAAGATCGAACGGAAATAAGTTCTCATAATTTACGACGGTGATATTCTCGGAGCAGTAAAGTCGCGCAACGTTTATAATCATTGTGCCGACATTTTGCAATGTTTTGCTTTGAATTCTCGCGTTACCAGTAAAATTTATATCAATGCCCCGTAACTGTATTTATATCGTAACAATTTAACTCTTAGGAAATCATTAAAGTGTAATACGATTATTAAAATGTCCACAGTAGCAAGAGTGCGGAAGTGAAACTAGCGGCGCGTAATATCACATCAATGAGATTTTCAATGTTTCTTTCATTCAATTTCATGCACCTGTTGGTTCGTAACCAGTTTAATAACAGCTCTGTAAGATTTTGTATGAATGTTGCATTGGTATGCAGTCATTATTTCAAATACAATTTAGGTTTATAAATTCATCGAATGGCTTTTGTTGAGAAAGAATTGCTAGAGAAATTAATAATTTAACTAACAAACAATTTTACTGGAAACGTTGAAACGGACTGCAATGCAATAAAATAAAAAACGAAGATGTTTATTGGTATAAAAACGAATAGATGGTGTATTGCTAGATTTGTTTAAAAAGCGATTATAAAAGAGATCTTGCGCGAGTCTGTTTAAGATTCAAGAGATAAGAACAAAATTTGTTTGCAATTGAAAACATATTAGAACAATGTTCTACGCAAGCTCAGAGGTCAGAGTGATATCGAGTAGATTCGTGCATTTGTGGTTTAGGTTGTGACAGCTGTCAAAACGAGAGTGGGAAATACGAACACGAGTATGAACATATATCGGTGAGCCGCGAACTGTCAACGAATGATAAACCAGAAAAACTGTCAGTAGATACAAAATGATTAAAATAGCAAACGAACAGGGAACTTCAATGGATATATATATATATATATATATATATATAATAAAATCTCAGTATATTTAATTATTTAGCATTAAATTATGATTTTGAAAAAATTGCGATAAATGACATAAATATTAAAATGTACGAGTTCTAGTCCAAACACCGTTTAAAGCACAATCGATCCACAAACATCCATATTTAAACAATTAATTTTGACTAAAAGTGAAGGCTTCTGTCTCAAATAAATAAAGTCAATAATTTATTTGAGCCAGATCGCGAATATGCGTTTACAAATCACATGAAGAATTGTCACTTCACAAATTAATTATAAATTTTTTTATTTTTTGCTAGATATATAAAGAGACAATCCAGGACGATACTAGTAATATTTGGAGTTTATTGCTACTATCATCACTGCGATTACTATCGTAAATGTCTGTAAGGCCGCGCATGAACTTGCGAGGCAAGATAGAGATGAGTAATGAAAGGATTAAACCCCGTATAAAGCGCTTTATCCGGACAGAAGCACTCGCTTCACCTTGCGCCGCGATCTGGACCGTAAAGCTGCATAAAGCGAAAGCTGCTGTTGTTACTGCTGATCCCGATTTCACACAGCCGCGCGGATGTGGTCTGCACATGATGCGTTTCGCCCGGCGGTTTCCGGAATTACGTATTTTCGCGGCGAGTGCACGGTACGACATCGAGCGTAACCCGCTCGCCGTAACCGTTGGTGTTTATGTAAACGCACACGGTCCCCCGCTATTATTTCCGCGTACATGACGTGATTAATAACCGGCCGAGCGAGGGATCAAAATAAGCCATGGACCGCGCGCGAATTTGGAACTTGGCTCCGCTTTTCTAGACGTCTTATCCGCGCGCGATGACGAATTTAGCGTCCGGTTGAAACATGTGGAATTAGAATGTCTGTCGAAAGTTTATAAATTCACGACAGCACATGGGATATAAATTAATCTTCAGACTGTGCGTGTAAAAAGATGTTCGAATTGTTATATATGCACCGATATTTGCTTTCTTTTTCAATAGATATTGATGATTCAATATATTCAATTATTTACTAGAAATATATAAATATGTGAAAATATATTAATTATTCGATTGTTATACTTGTTGCTAATGTGAGATATGTAATATTATTTGTGGAGCAATTTTGCGCTAACAGAATATTAAATACTCAAAATATTATATCGAGTATGTTACATCTATCTAATCTGAAATTTAATAAATGTAAAGCCGGCTTTTCGCCTTAAAAAACCTTAAAGCCAGATTAAAACTTCCACAGCTTTCACACAGGTTTAAAAAGATTTTTGCTTTTTAAGCTAATTAAACTTTGGGAACGCATAACAACAGAGTTCCCCTTCTTATAATTGGAAAGTAACACTCTTCTCTTACGGTACAGGTGCCTTTTGTGTCAATATAACAACGATACTAGGAGAGGTTCGCAAATGCAACATACATATAAGCTAAGCGGCCTTGTTTGCCCGAGAATTGCTATTATGAAACTTGGAAGACGATACAAGACGCTGTAACGTGATTATGAAACACGGGCTTGAAGAGAAGTCGGAGGACCGAATTTCACATGTTGTGAAAATGTCAGCGCGAAATATCGGTAATACCGCTTTCCTATAGCCGCGTTTTAAATCCGTGCTTGAATTTATGCACGCTCATTTATCCCTCGCAAAAAATCTCGCGACTCACGGATAAAAAAAAAGCAAAAAACGAAAAGATAAAATGGTCGGATCAAAGAGTCGCGAGAATTAAGCGCACTCCTACGCGATGATATTTGAACAAGTTTTCTCTGCTGTTACGTTTCTTGCGCAACTATATTTAGTGTATAAATATATCCAGTACGAACAACTATTTATTAAAAACACGAGAAAACACATTCGCGCGCGCTTACGTGCAGTCTCGTTTCGCGGCATCAAGTGGATGCGCATAAAATTATGCGAGAGCGCTTTTGCCGAGAGACGTTTCGCGAAGCGTCTATGACAAAAAAAGCGTTCTTCATGACGACACGCCATCGATACACCACATCATTATTAATAAACGCTATAAGTACTATAAATAGATTTGTGCAAAGTTTTATTTGGTTTCGCAGATTCTCTGCCTGTTCTTGCGTTATTTTAAATTGTATTTCAACTTACTGCAATTACGCTACATTATGTGCATATATGTGACGTTTCTTAATAATATCACGATTACCAGACCTCACGTTTAAACAAATGTCAAGTTTAAATGGTTAACAATAAAGTCTTGAATAAAGATTAAATCCGATCAATGATTGCTTTCGATTCGTTCATATATTTACGAGCAATTTAACTCATTGATACGTCTCACACGTCATTGCCAGAAATAAAAAGGTTTCAGTGATTTTTGATTCAGTTTATGCCTGCGAGTTTCTAGATTAAATTGTCTTTTGAAAAGTTTCGCCGCAATCAACTGCAAATTTCGATGCAATTTTTAACAATATAGAAAACGTTTTAACAAACTGTCTTTTATTGTTAATGGACGACTTTTTTCAAATAAAGCTTTTCTGAACGATAATAAAACGATAATAAAATTGTAATTTTCTGATATTACGCCGAACGCTCGCTTCTCGTTTATATTTTCCAAATTTATTCGTGAAATAAAAAGATACGCGTTCAGTATGAGCTGTCGTATTGCATAATAAAAGCACTTTTTCATCGTAATTATATATTGTCAAGAGAAATCCATTATGTAATCTTTATGTAAAATTATGATATTCGTGTAACATATTTTCATATTGCATATGTTCATCGAATTATAAATCAAGCGTTGCATTAAAAGTTAGAAGTAGCATAATAAATTACAATTTCAAGTTGGGAAATGATTCCTAGTGGATATCACGCAACTCAAACTTGATACAACAACGTTGCTGAACTCTGTAATATATTGCTACTAAATCTTTTTCTTGTTCTAAATGATCACAAAAGTTCTTTTTTGAAAATGCGTTATGTTTCTATGCATTAAAGTATCTAATTAAATTTAAGCTCAGGTGCATCTCATTAACATTCAATTTGCTATTTAAATAATCACATGTATGTAATAAAATTTAAATATAATATGAAATATAACTGCAGTATTATCGATCAAAATTCAACCAATAAAAATTACAAAAAAATTATTATGATATTCGATAAATAATTTTTAATTAGACTTCTGTAATTCTTATCAAATTAGCGTAGCTTTAGCAGTTTTAGTATGCTATTGTATCAAGTATTTTGGTTGTAATATACAACTTCCAGCATAAATTTTTCTTTTCGTTAAAATTGTTCCTAAAATTTTAACAATAATCGTAATAATCTAAGCTTTATCTTTTTACATAAAAAATATATTGTGTTATTACTAGCATTCAATTAATCTCAAAGATGCTCAAGCAATAATTACAATGTAGAGCATTAATATCTCCTCTTACAATTTTGATAATAATTAATAATAAATTGGTAGTTTGTATTTTGATCTCTCGTGCAATACGTTGGTAATAAGATACCTAACCTAACCGCAAAGTACCATTACAAAAATTTAATTCAAATTTTTAGAATAAATAATTACGACAGATTACTTTATGCAATTTCAACCGGGATCTTTAAATATTTAGGAAGATTATCATTACCTTCTTCTTCCATCTTCGCAGGCGAGATTCCCTCAGGCTTGGCCTCGATCCAAATTGGCTTCCTTCTCCGTGTCGAGTATCATCGGCGGTGCAACGTCGTTTCTCTCACGCACATTTCACATTCTTCGTGACATTCGTTCATCCGCTACGCGTTGTGCGGTGTGTTTCCGCGAACTCTGAATCTCTCCTGAATTTATCATCCAAGAAAAAAACGCGATTCGTTTTTACGCTACCGACACTCACCCTCGCGCACACTTAATTCGGATTCGGATGTTAGCGAATTTAATACGCGCGTGCAAATATTTATCGGACACTCAGTTCAATTAAAATTTTGACTCCGTAAATTTTTGCGTTGTCACCAGGTGTACAGCCTCGTTATATATTTATTAACCGTTCCTTTATTCTTAATCTAGTTTTCATTTTTTTACTTATTTCTCAAAAAAAAAATGTCGAGAAACATTTTTTCGCAGCTTATCATGGCGAGATATTTTCTCACACTTCTCAGACAATTTTTATTTGCCGTAATTAATTCTTGACTAGGCATCAAACTGAAAGTTTATTGTTTAAATGTAATAAAAATTTGATTTGTTTTCAGTATTTTTAAGACCAATACTTTTGATTTGATAATCCGTCAATAACCTCTTCATTCGACCGTTTCCGCAGACGTGAAGCCCGCAACTGGTGGCTGAATTGCCACGCCGAGATCGCCGAGAGAAACTTCCCTACAATCCCTTCGCGATAACTCTATAGTAAAGCTGCGCGAAAGCTCGTCGTCCGTTACGTTTCTATTTAAGCCGAGAGAGGTTGCTCGCAATTTTGAAGCAGTTTGCGCGTTTGCTCGCCTAAAAGGAATAAAGTTTATAATTTTTGTGTATTAATTTGTATCTTTTTTTGCACTCCAACATTGGCACTTCTGCTTCTTATAGTTACTTTTCTTTGAAGAATCATACTTTATAAATATATATATTGTAACTTATATCTTTGAGCGAATTAAATAATTCATTAGATAGCATGTATTTAATATTAATATCAATAGAAAACTTTTTATAATGCAGAATTTTTGTAACATCTTTTTTTATATTTTACAATTACAGAGACTTCTTTTTTTTTACGTTTTTTGTATTTTAAATTAAATATAGGTAATTTTTCCTGTTAATCACATTTGTAAAGTTTGCTAATTGTAGTAATTAATTAATTTTATCATTATTAATTAATTGCATAAATTGTAATAATTATTTGAATAAAATATGTTTTCGCGACAGCAAAATGCATATCACTCTTATCTAGAAGCAATTTGCAATTAATATTTACTCTAGCAATTGTAAATCGCTGCAGGACATAAGAGCACACATAAAATACCTTTTCCATCAAACACGTTTTAATAAGTTATCTCAAGAAATATTTCTTTTTATGACTGTTAAAATTGTATTATTCATCTATCGGGTTTCTTAGGTACTTATATTTTATAATTCCATTGCTTATTAATTTTATTGCTTACAAACGTATTGATTGCGACAAAATATGACATGGGACTTATACATATAAAGATATTAAAAAAAAACTTTAAGTTAAATATTTAAAATTTTTTTACACACATACAAAAAATCTGTATTATCACTACAATACTAAAATATTAATTCCAGTTTTATAAAACAAATCAAGGTATAATCTTAAGTAAAAATTAAGAAATCGTATTATTAAATTACGTCATAAATAAGTCAGATATTTTTGTTTCCAATGTTTCGACTGTATATGCACTTGTTTAACGTCCTATACATTTATATGCGTTGCTATATAAAATTTTTTAAAGGAATTCCATTTCTCGTTCAATGCCGACAAATTTAAGTTGCTCCGTTGGTCCATATCTGAAAATAGTTTTAATTTATACGGTTTTAATCAGAATTACAATTCAATCATTTTATTAATGTTACAGTGACATACCTATAATCGAAAAATAATTCCTCGCCAGGTTGAATTGCTCTCTTAGCAAAAATACCTATTCTGTGATCGCCGTTAACCATCATTACTTTTGCATAACAATTGGGATTTATCGAATGATTGGCGAATCTTATTTTATTTCCTTTTCTTGTTGCGTCAACGACAAAATCTACAAAAATATTATTTTTTTAACTTTTCTTCTTCTACAATACACAACAAATTATAATATGGTATTTATACCATGCTTACCATTATTAAGATTAAAAAGAAAACTGCACATGTATTTATCGTATACTTTTCCTCTTCTGTCAGCCTCATCTTGACTGATGATTTCGCCACAATACTCTGAGATAAATTCATTCTTCGCCGCGGATTCTTTCAAAAAAATTCCCCAGCCCGCTACATCAGATGGTGCCATCAGCAAATGTTTATCTAAAAACCAAATCAAATTTTCGTTTACAATTCTTATGCTTCTAAAAAAATAAGCTAGAAGTTTATTAATTAGGAACTTACGAAGACCACGTTGCACGCTGACATTCTTACAAGATATCTTAGTAATATGAAATTGATCAGCGCCACACGTTTGGCAAAGATCCGGATCACACTCTCTCACAGCTAAATAACACGGACATTGCTTCGTGTTGCACTGAGCCTTACATCTGCAACCGGGAAAACGATTCTGGCATTCGCTGCTGCACTGACAGAATTTTTCGCAGAAGTTTTGCGCCTGTATGCATGGGCACGAGTTATCACACTGACGACCCGGATGATCACAAGGTGCAAAGTTATGTACGTGATTAGCACCTATTGAAAGAGATTAAACATCAGATCACATTAAACAATTGCAAAGAAACATACTTGTTAAATTTTTACACAGTTCAAATTTTTGAAACTAATTAATAAACGTACCAGAGTCTTTCTTAAGCTGTATCTTTCTGCAATGCATTGACCATAGACGATGCTTTTTTTTCTTTTTCCGTGGTGGCGTAAAGTCCTTCGAATTCTCTATAGCCGGAATATCTGAAGCTTCCTTTTGTGCGAATGCGTACACCTCCTGACAAGTTTTCGTTAGCATGATTTGAGCTAGCGCGCATGGATTACCAGGAAAGGCCTTGTGAAGAGCTCGGAATGAGCTCTGTTCCGAACCTGTCCATGAGAACTCGCTTTCCGTTTTAATCCGTTTGCCAACTCCTAATAGCGTGAAGGGTGTTTGGTTTTCAGGTTGTGCTTGGTCTTCCAAAATTTCTTCAGGTTTGGAGTCCTTGTTAACGTTTTGTTTAAAATCTAATTTGAAAAGTAAAACTTTTTACAAATCTAGGTGGAATATTAATAAAAAATATATAGATTTCATATTAAGTAATATATATTAACCTTGACAACTGCCTCCTTGACCATATTTATTGCTATCATTGCTGTCTTCACTGCTCGCTTCATTTCCAGAATCAACACTTGCCTGTTTTCGTACTTTTCTAGGGCCGCCACGTTTCTCCTCGCCTTCTTCTTCTTTTATATCTGCTGCCTGTGCTGCCAATTTCTCCTTCATTCCTTCCTAAAAATTAAAATTAAGATATCAAATCTATACATTAAACACAGTATTATATTAAAATAAAGTATATAGCGTACTATGTGCATATAACACTCTGCTCCACATGGCTCCGAAAATGGTTTTAAATCAGGTCCCTTGCGCTTCAGTAAATTCGGTCCTGGATGGCAAACTTGAAGACCTACAAGCAACATCATAAACTAACTACGAATGTACTCTCGTCGGCTGACTCGGCATAGTTAAATGGAGAAAAATTTAGTAGAGAAACACAGCGATGAACGATGAATGAAATATGATTGTGGATGAGCCCTTGACGATGCCTCTGTGCTAAACAAAAAAAAGCTTCCGATCGAAAATGCATTAGTTTATATGCAATGTTGTTCTTTACCTTGCGGCGAGGTCCCCCTGGCTGCTACGATAAAATCAGGAATCATAAATTATTGTAATTAATAAATTTTGAATTCAAAACGCTTATTATAAATAAACAATATTAATAAGATATATATATATAAACAAAATTATAATTATTAGTTCTACTTTATTTCTATAACAAATTATAAAAATAAAATTTATTAAAAAATTAATTAAATAATAATAAGTATTAAAGACAATATTATTTTGTAGACTTAACAAAATACAACTTAAACAAATATAGCACTATACTTTATTGCACTATACTCACGATGTAAGAAGCAGTCGTATTTGAAGCATCTCCTGCAGAATAAAGTATGAAAAGAATGCATTGTTTGTTCTCTAGGTACACTTTTAGCGTTTACACCATCTATATTTGGAGTGCATTCTGGAGGTAAAATATTCGGATCAGATCTTTCCGTTAATTCGATATATTTTTCTTTCAATTCTTCAGGTCTTCCTTTGTCAGGGAACATGCTTGATATTGCCTGCACAATAATTATAAAACTATTAATATTGTACCACAGAATAATTGTTACTATTATACCACAATGCTCTGTCATTGTAAATAATTATCTTACATTAAATATATGCATTGACGGAAAGACCGTCTTTCCGTCTTCTGCCTTAACATCACATTTCGTTTCAGCGTCCTTCTTTTCATTTTCCTTTTGATTTTCTTTTTCTTTCAAAAATTCTTTTCCTTTTTTCACTTGCTCTCTCTCCTTATCTTCTTTTTCATAATTTGTTAGAGCATTCACTAAATCAACAAAGATGGAATCATCCATAAAACCAGATTCTCTATCTCCATGAACCTGTAACAAAATTAATAAAATTCTTTACGTGATTGGTAATAATGTAAATTTAGATTATTCTCTCCACACCTTTCCATCATAATTTTTAATAAGCTCCTCAATAAAAGTGCCATCTTGATCCAAAATCTCATCACCCATGTAAGGAATGTTATGCAAAACAGTTTCATCTTCCACCATAAAATTTTGTTGAATCGGAGCCCATGTATACATGGTTGGTATAGGAGTCACTGCATTAATTATTTTTACAGGACAACTTTGCACATCGCCATCAGGACTAGTAATTTCAGCTTTCTTCATACAAGAAAGATGAGGTGGAATATCTTGCACTGCTATCCACATTGCCTTTCCATCTGCCCAACGTTTCTGTTCAGCCGCAAGAAGATCTATTCAACAAAGAGATTTAAACATTATTGATACAAAGTTACATTATCATAGTAATCATTATTATTTTAAACATTAGTTATAAGTTTAGCTCATAAAGATTTATATAAATCAGCAAAATAAGAAATAAAAATTATAATATATTTATATGTAACGAATTATAAAATATAAAAGAAAAAACAGTAGAAGAGGTTAGAAACCATGAAGCCTCGAAGGCGCAACTTGCCTGTCATAACCTTGCGATTCTGATTCCATGCAACTTTAACCTCATCTGCACGCTTATAGCGTTTCATTTGCCGTAAACGCATGTACTCTGACTTTACTCTCTTCTTCCATTCCGCTGAAACTTTGGCCTTTGACATCGTTACAAATGCACAATTCCTGAAACAAAACTAGAATTGCTATTGATCTCTATGCTCAAAACACATCCACTCCGATTCTCCATCAACTGATATTGTCAGCTCAATCCCCTCTCTTGTACTGATTTCCCACTACCCACATTTACCACAACCACGTGATCACTGAGTATGCGTAGAACGAAAATGCTGTTGTATGCATATAGTGTTAAAGTAAATAAATAAGAAGGTATGCACTTTCCATATTTCTCAAGAATTACTTTTAGAAATAAGTATTCCATGTTAAACAGTTAGAGATTTGGTAAAATGATGAATAATACATATATAGATTGAGTGTCCAGCATCCTTAATAATTTTTTATAAAAGAATCAATATTATATCAATTATTATAACTTTATCAATTTAAATAATTATAATTACAAATATAATTAATTGTATATAATCATCAATTATAATATGTAAACTGTAACAATTAAAGAATAATTATTAAAAATTAGTTATTTATATTATCTTTCATATGCACAATAAACCATGAATATTTTACACAGATGTGATGCCTAAGTTTCTTTTTTCTGAGACAAGATCTTTTACTATTTTCTACTCAAGTAAATAATTATATTATATTATTTAAACATACTATGCAGTTTCCAGCAAATTTCATTCAGACAGATAGAGTTTGTTATGTCTCGCATTCCAAATATTAGAATAATTAGCCCAAATATTAATGTGCTGTAAGAAAGCTTCTGGTTTCATAGCTTTTTAAGCGATCTTTTCTGCAATCATTTCCTAGTTAAAAGAAACAGATAGAAAAACTTTATTGCTTACAAATCAATAGCCACAAATTTAAATATTAAATAGAGTTAAATGCAGAACATGATATTATACATACATTATGTTCTCTGGCTGAAGTTTATTACATCGTGAAACACATTTACACGTCGTCTTAACCTATAAATCTGTACTAAGTAACTATTTCGTGTTATGCTACATATCGAAAGGGTTAATATTATTTTTATGATTAATTGATAATATATTTCAAATTAATTACCCGAGATAAACGATTTTGGCCTTATTAAGATATTAAACTCTTGTTTTTGACAAAACTTACTTGTTACAACTTTCTCGCGCCATTTCTATGAGATTGACAATCGACCCTAAATCGTATTCCGAGTGATTCCGGCATAGACCGAAATCGACCGATGATACTAACACGTCACAAACTACGTGTTCTATGCAGGTCAATGCCTTATTCTAGACAATAGTTTACGGTACTAATAACTTCCGCATTCTTGTGCGTGCCGGCATGTGGCGCCACTTTTTTTTCGCATTCCATGCATTCCATTGCATGTCATCTGCATCTAATTATAGTGATGTACTTGCTGGATTTTCAAAACGCTATCACTCAGCGAAAAATTGACGTAGCAACATGCGATAAAATCCAATCTTCTCGGTTTTTCATGCTGCAGATGTTTATGCACACCGCACATGCTCTTATCACGACACACATATATGTATATACTGTATATACACACACATATACATGTGTTAGACTCAGATAAAATAAACGTAAAATGTTTATATAATATATTTGTTTTTTATTTTTTATTTATATTTGTGATACATATGTGTTTTGAAAAGTTTTCTGATCAACATCGGCATACTGTTAATATCGAAACTTATATAGCCAACCATTTGGCCGAAATCCTCACCTGGTTTTTTCTCTATACTTCAAAGTGTGATTTGGAATAATAAAAATAAGTAGTTACGTCGACAAAAAATATCATTTATTATTTTCGGTGCTTTACATGAGAATGAAACAAGTCACTGATAATTATAGGAACGAGCAGCGATTCGATTTCATCTTTTTCACATCTTCATTTATTTAATGTTTGTTTTATGTAGTATTTTTCTTCTATGTATGTGTGTGTGTGTTTATTTGTTTGTGTGGCGGGGAGAAAGACCAACGTAAAATTAAAAAGATTTACATGAATCTAAATTTCTTCGAGAAATAGTTGGGCGAAGAATTCGAGAAATTTGCATGCCGCGCACGCTGATTGTATTAAAAAGAAATCTATCATTCTTCAAACCTTTTGTCGATATTGAAAGACTTTTGCTCTTTCTACCTACATTTTTTTCATTCACAGTGGAGTAGATATTTATTTGAGTTTTAAGTGAAGAAAGAAGGAAGAGATAAAAACGTCAAGAGCGCGATTGATACGCACATATTTAACGTCTTATCGCGAAGAATACAGAGGAACTCATTGCCTTAAACTTTTTGCATAAAATGTATTTCATCTCTTTGCTTGTAGCAAAACTCTAATTCTGTATTGCTGCATATGCAACTGTCATTAATATAATTTATTAAACAAATACATTATAGGTATTCGTAATGTTCATATAATGAGTATGAAGCATTTATTAAATTTGGATATATTATCGAATAGGAGACAATTATAACAAGGCATAGTTAAAGTTTATAAAGAGACAAAACTAAGTTTATAGAATTTGTGATCAATCGTTGTCAAAATTTGAAGAAGAACTAAATAGAAAACCGGCCATCGAAATTTTTCTTCTTCTTTTGTTTCTTCTTTCTTTTATGTTATAAATGTTTCATATAAAATAAACTCTACTCCATCATTCTCACATTCTTTGTCTCTTATATGTCGTTTTTCTTGCATATTATTAACATGACCAAACACTTCAACAAATTTTCAGTTTTCACAAATTAATTCTGAAATTCAAGGCCTACTACGCTATTAAGAATTATTTATAATTATTGACTACTCAAAATTATCAAATTATCTTGTGAGACATATAGTGATCCTTGTCGTATTTTCTTGTCAAAAATACGCGTGGATTGTTATATTGCTACAACCAATGTTTTTCCGATTCATAGAAAAATACGACTTTCTCCCCACGGAAGAAATAAATAAAACTGTCTATCCTAATTATTATATTATTATTTAATCATACAGATTCTCTCTTCTTTATTATTCCTGTCATATTCTCTTTGCCATGGATTCACCATAATTAGAAATAATTAGTGGTACTATGCGCAACTATGCTCTGCATTCCACCATTACATCGAGTATCCTAAATACAATATACACTTATTTTCAAACAAAATAAAAAGTATATGTGATGAGAAATCGCAAAAGAGTGAACACCATCGCGAGATGGACATAAACTTCGAAATTTTCTTCAATCACGATTGAGTTTATGTGATCTCAGTCGTACGCTATTTCTAGAATAGAAAATTTCACATTTGACAATTTTCTCTTGTAGAAAAAGTCACAGAAGTTATATAAGATACATACGTGACTTTTTTAATAACGCGAACATAGAGAGAAAGAGAGAGAAAGAGATCCAACTCGCATATTGACAATAACTAATTAGTTAAATTTTATTTATGTTAACTAATAATTGGGCAAAGCTTTGATTCATCGATTGTAAGAAATTTCTGAGACGATTTTTATATTTATTTTTTTTATTTTGTATTAAAAATTTATAAACTGATAAAGAGAATTTTCACACATATCGAAAATTGCTCTCAAATATGTTTTATTATTGAGAATTTGACTAAAAAAATTAAATCAAAATAAATTTTCTTCAAATATTTGCGAAAAATCAGATAAGATAAAAACTTAAATATTCAGGACTTTATTTTAACAATCTTAATATAATTATTTGATCAATTATAATATTTACGCACACAAGAGTTTTACACGCACAATTTTTTATATATATAAATATATTATACATTTCTAATAATGTTAATATAAAGAGTTTTGAATGCAAAAACAAGATAACTCCATAATTTAAAAATTGTTTTAAATATAAAATTATATGTAAAATAAATTTTGCAAATAACAGAATCACCTAATTTTTACGATATTTTTTACACATATTTATAAACAAAAGTGTCTGAATATTAATAAATTATAACTTCTTCAGTTGTTTGCGAATAACAATTGATTATCTCCATATTTTTTCTTTCTTTTTTTTTATACTGATAATAACATTCTTATATGAATACATATTCTCACAGAACATCTTATTGTATAATCCATTACATAATATCGACTCAGGAACTTCCTCAATAGTGACAAATCGATGTTTAGTTAGTTAATACATCGGTCAAAATTGTTATGCAATTATTAATCGCCCCAGAATCAATTAAAAGTAGAATTCGCAGTTCGCTTAACCGATAATTATTCGCACTCTTTTGATTAACCCATAATTTAACTACACGCTGTAATTCTAATCCACATGCGCGACGATCAACATTCAACATGCAGGGTACATCACATTGAATTTGGTATATGATGACATATTGTATCTACGTGTCTTTTAGCTACATTAAGGGTGTCTTTCCCGCGTTGTTGCGCCTTTTTCTCTCTTGCAACCATTTCTCTCGTAAAAATGTGTATAAGCGTGGTGTATTGATCACACGAACGCTTTCACATATTGTAAGAATTTTAATTTTTAATAACTCTCTAATATTTTTTATAACTCTTACTGACACAAAGCAAGAAGAATTACCGATATGCTCGCCCTTTCTCTACAAGACTTCACAAGGCCATAGTATTTTTTTTGCGGCAATACTCTCCAGTGCTCTTCACATAATACATTAGATACATTAGATTTATCCATTATATGGATTTTAAATATTTAGATGTAACTAAGAAAAATCACGAAACTTTATTAGAAAAGATAAATGCTGTTTGAAATTATAAATGTTTGAAATTATTCAGACATAATTCACTCTAAAGTAACAAAGGATTGATAAAAGAGTAACTAAAATTATGTTACTTAAAATATATATGACTTATATATGTATAAGAGCTTATCAAAAATCGATCAAAATAAAATGTTAAATTTCTGTAACTTTCATTTTAAATCTGAGTAAATATCACAATCTCCACAAGAGAAGTATGTATTCACTGTTTGTTTCGCGCGAAAAAAATTCTATAAATAAAACTCCATATAAATTTCTAAATGTGACAGCTCATATTGTGTCTCGACTGAATGAAATCAGCTTACACCAGCGAAACTGCCATTCCTATGGCTGATGAGAAAATGGCAGAATTTCTTAGCATGCCTAACTTCATAAATTCTACGTATCTACGATCACTAACGACAGCGATATATCAGAAAGACGAAACTCGGAGAATATTAGAAAGGACAGTTCGATTGCTTTAGTACGTGGAATCTCGAGTTATTTTGTACGGAACGAAAGATACCGTAGAACGTAGAAACAAAATCAAGAATCAAGACCAAGAGTTTGCTCTTGGTCGAAGAGGCCATTTTAACGATGTTAAAACGTTTCAACTAATTTGCGTGAGTCAGATTTAATGTAATTTTTGCAACACGATTATCGCTATAGACACATTTAACTATCAGTTCCTAGTGGTGTTCTGCGGCCGAAATTCTTTGGGTCCCGAATGATTATTGTAACTCGTTTAAGCCCTTTCACGTACGATTCCGTTTTTCGCCTTTCCCTTCTCTTCTCGAAGCCACTCGCACTCATTTTCATTTTAATTACACATTTTACAAATCATTAATTTAACGATTAGTACTTAGGCATACGTATGTAACAATTAATCGCGCATCTACGAGGATCAAGCATTTATGGGTGAGCGTCCTCTCGCGATTCAAGTTCGTATGTTTTAGGCCGTATTTGAGCAGTCGCTATTAAGAACCGGAGATCGCAATCAATCGTCATTGTCGACCGTCTAAATTCCTATGAGATACTCCCTTCTCACGAAATGCGGTAAAGTATGATCGAGCCGGTGATCGGAAATCATAAGATCTACAATCGTAACTGAAAGTCACCAACGAGAAACGAAAGGAGCTACAAGTAGTTATTTTCTTCGTTTTCTCGTACTGTGTTTCGTCGCGTCAAGTAAAGCGTATTTAGTCGTACCGTACGTTCAATTTAAGAATTTTTCAATTTTCTTAGATTTCAGCATCCACAACACAGCGTTACTTAAGAGTTTGAAATAAATCACGGACGATCGATTTGCATCTGCAACATCGAAAGCTCGTTTTCTGCTAGGCAGTTGGAAAAATGCTGCTACTGTTTGATCCACGTGAAGACACGCGCGCAATTCCGTGAGATTGTCCTTGACACTTACAGTTAGAATTACAGTTAGAACGAGTACAACACAGATATGTAGAGAAGAGGCCATTGTCTGTAATTCTAATAAATGTTCTCGACGAGGCAGCCAGTCGCTCTAATATGCATTTTATATCGAGAAGAAGAGACATTACTTCCTTTTGTAATAATTCATATGTCGATAATTTTTCTAGGAATGTTTCTATCTGCGACTGATCGTAATAATTTATCGAATGTATCGAATGTACAATTACGCAATAATTCGCGATGTGTGCTCGACTTTAAGGATATATTACACACGGCCCGCAATAGTACGAGAATTACAATAAGTAATTATAATAAGTAAGATGTATATCATATTTTCTAGAGATTCGTAGCGTAACTTTGAATCAATAATTTCGATTGTCAAGATTGATACAATGTCTGCTTGTTGCTATCTATTTGTGTGTGTGTGTGTGTGTGTGTGTGTGTGTGTGTGTGTGTGTGTGTGTGTGTGTGTGTGGTATGGCGTTTTGTGTATTAAATATTTGTCGTAAATAGATAATAGTGAAACAGACTTGAGTTATGCTCTACGTTAAAGCTTTACTTTTGTCGTAGAAAAGTCGTAGTTGTTCTTTATCTCTAACGAATGACATGTGCCTAGACATTTTACTGTAAAGCAAGCTCGAATTTGATCGAAGACTATTACAAGATTTTCAAGACAAGCGGAAAAAATGAAAAAACTATAGTGTACAATTGCGGACAGTTTAATCCTTTGCTCTCAGAATCTTATACGTATAAATCTTATACGTATAATATAAACAAATAAATTTTTCATTGTGAAGATGTTTCAGTATAATGTGCTGGTTGTACAAAGATTACGCAGAATAAAGCTTTTTAAAATAAACGCAAGGAATCCAATCAATTATATATATAATAATAATTTAGAGAACAAAAGGTTAATGCGTTATCCGTAATGATTTATAATAAATCATTGATTATGCATATATATGATCGAAAACTACTCTTTGACGAAAGTAGATTCTCGTGTCAATCTTGCAAGTATTTTATTATTTAGTATAGCCAGAAGAGAATTAGCAGCAGCGATAGCAGTAATCGCAGTAGATAACGATAACTAGAGTGATCGTAGTAATAATAGTCATTAGGTCACTTCAAAGGCTAGTAGAAAACGTGTCTAGAACGCGCTCAGCTACTTACAAGGGAGAAGTCTAGAGTGTACACGATTGCATTCGTACGAGAAGATTGTCCATGCCATAATCTTTTACGAGAAACTTCCGACAAAAATATGTTTCCCCGAATTAATTCGTGATTTTCGTCGAAAGTTTCGTCGATTCTTTTTATGTACGCCACAAATATCTCTTTCGCTTGATTCGTTTGCGCTTGCGTTTGTTCTGTGTTTACGAAGATTCGTTTACAAAGATTCAAAACTTATTTCCTTGTTTTTTTACCTTAAATATTATTCGCATAACATATTCTTTCGTGAAAAAAATCAATTGGATTATTGAAATAATCGTTACAAACCGTACATTAAAAGATCAATAGTTATGTTACAGAACAATACAACGACACGAATATTGTACAACAAAAAAAAACCACGAAGTCATACGTGTTAATGCACATACGTCGTTTTGCGTCAAAAGTCTAATTTAAGCTATCCAATGCTCGTGAATTGAAATCAATGACATCGGATATGTTTCTAGACTGATTATAAACTTCCTTCATAAAAGTATTGTTTTCTTTCCATGCTTTTTATATCTGACTCCCTCATGCAAAGGCACAACCGTCTCATTTACGATCTTCGCAGCAAGACGTATCGCTGACATTCAAGGCGAAAAACCGACGAAGCGATTATATGGAGAGAAACAATACAACTGTAATTAAAAATGCTTCTTTTTTTCACAGGCCGATATACTTTCCCGTTCTGTGTTTTAATTAAAAAATTACTTTCTTTGGATGCTTGGGCACTCGCGATTCTGCTCTGCACTGTCTTTTTGATCGTAATAAAAATAATCGTTCCTTGTAAATCACAAAGAAATTCTAGTCGAAATACTCATTTGAATCACCATCTAAGATTCAAAAAAAAAAAAAAACGTTAAATTTTCGTGAGAAAAACCAGAAATTTTTGGTATTTTACAGCTTCAATATTCACAAAAGGGTAGAGAAAAATTGAAACGTACATACATATGTATCAGCAATGTAACTGTGAGTCAGAACTACACACGTACATCGTCATTATAAATTTCATTTCAACACTGCCTTGCGAAAATAAATCTTGGATTAAACTTTCATTGACATTCCTTAAACATCTACATCGTTAACATCTAAATTTTTTTTTTTTTAATTGATATGGGACAGTGACATCGTATTTATCCTTACATATTGTTTAAACACATGTACATTTTGATTACAATTTTCCCGCAGATTGTAGTAATATATAGTGTAATTTTTTATATAGATGTGCATGTGTACACGTCCCGAGTCGATATATCGACGCCGATAAATTTTACAAGTTATACAGATTACATCACATCACTTGAGTAACGCCGCGTATCTCTTCGTCCGCGCACGCACCACATTCGCTGTAATAATAAATCTGCGATCTTTACATAATCGTTTACAGAGATGTGATTTCGTGGATCATCGTAAGGGTGCTGCCGGATCATTAATTAATTCTGTACGATATTATCACGTTTATCACCTATCGCTAATTTTTTTCGGGCGGGGTAAGCGCAATGATTCTAAACAATCCGTTCTGTCCCTAACCCCGGCGCGGGACATTGCAGGACTTAAACACATTCACATTGACGCGTCTCGAGGATCATCCTAGATCGTCCCGAAGCAACGGATTAAGCTCATATTTTTGCCGTATTGTATTTTTTTTTTGCTTGTCAATTTCCTCGAATTCGCAGTCAAATTCCTCGGGGTTGCTTCGTGAATTGTCGTGGCAAGATCCTCAAGAGGCTGCGCGAAACAGGACGTAGATATTATTAGATCTGAGAAACGTCGAAGAAATCTGCCTGTCCGTTCCGCTATCAGTCTACGAGCTACAAAAATTGTGCGACTTCTAAACATCGAGTTTAGTTGGTTATTATTCAAGTTGGCCGCGAAGCTATGCCCCCCCCCAGAACTCCCCATCCGCTCCTCTCGCCACCACCCCAAGCTAATTACTCTTTTTTTGTCGTTGGCTCGGCCAGCGAGCTTTAAAACGATTGTCTACCATCAAATAGTTAAAGCAAGTTACGTCTGTCGAGACATCCGTTCGATTTCGATGTTTCCTATCTCATCGCCGTAATTTTTTCTGGAACGCGGAATATACATATTTCAATTTATCTTATTGATCATTCAAGATGTATGTAGCGTTCTTACGCGCAATCAGTTCTAATTTTTCATATTTCCAGCATCTTTTCTTATTGTTTTTTTACTTTAAAATTTAGCAAACAAGCTAATACATTCAAATAATTTTAATAAACTATTAAAAATTATTACAAACTTATAATAGTTTATTTATATTAGTTCCGTATTCTAATTGGAGTTTTTATTTCGAGCAAAGATAGGAAACGTCGCGAAAGAAACATCTCGTTGACGTAAAAGAATCAAACAGGCTGTCGCCGTTGATTCTTAAGTATTGATATTTCAATTTTGCGAAATTCGATCGAATCACTGACTGGGTCAACCAGATGAAACCACCGGCGGCGGCAGATATCGATCGAGTTTCGCTTTACAGTTTTCATCGATATATTATTCTCGTTTTGGGAAAAATGGACCCTTGTTATCTCATCAGAATATATGACTGCCTTCACGTTTTTGTAGTTACTTGCCAAAAAAATAATCTTTCTTTCTCTTCTTTATTCTTTTTCCTTATTGTTCATGTGAACAGACTTGCACAGGTACACCTTTATTGCTAAAATCACCGCGAATACCGATAAAGCATTCGCGGATCTCGAAAGGCGCTAATCGAAGGAACTCGGTTTTTAGGGATTTACCAATGCGTTCTTTTGTTATTCTTTCTTTCTGCCGAGTCAAAACGTGGCGATGTTGACGCTACGTCGCTCCATAAGCGCACGTTTAATGGAAGGGTTATCTTTTTATCATTTTTAAAATTGATTGTCTTCTTGAACAGTTATAAGTAAAACCATCTGTATTTGATTGTCTTTTGGTTATATGCTACGCTGATTATCGATTTCTTTTTATTAAATTTGTCGCATAACGTGTGATCGATCCGTGTTAATGACTGACCGTATTATCATTCATTGTTTCTTATACATTGCAATAAATAATTTTTTTATATCTTCCATAAATAATTTTTTTATATACTCTATAACACTTTCTCAACATTTATATTTATATAAATAAAAATAAAATCTTCTTTCTATATATATATGTATATATATAATTTTCTTTTTTTATATATGTATATTAATTTCGATGTTATTAAACTCTATAAATATATTTTCTTCCATCGTTTATATTTGCAAAAGTTAACGAATAATCAAATATTTAATTAATAAACATGTCATCTATTATCTGTTTGTTTGTAGTATTTGCGAATTGATGATAAATCATAATAAATATCCATTAATCGACTCGACACAAGTTAATAACAAATCTTCATCCGTTCTATATTTTCTCCGCTTTATTTTTTCCATCAATAGAAATAAAGAGAAAATAAAATTTGAGTAAATAAGACAGAAAAACACAGTATTAAATCAAAGTATTTTTGAACGCGCATATTATTACAAATTTAAGACATCAGAAATTATGATCGGAAAATCGCATCAACACGGAAAGACTGGGACTTTGTGGACGCAAACTTTGCCTTTTGGAGCAACGTGCGCCTCTAGTCGCCACACTCAGAGACTTGTAATAATAAGAAACGCCATTATCTCGCAAAAATCGAGATTGCGCTGGATCCGAGCTAGCCAACACCGCCACACAATCAACCACGATTTCCATCAAGAGATAATCTTGACGACGGACTCGCCCTCGTCTTTGAGCAAAAGGCTCAGTCTGAGGTCGAGCTCGCCGGCCTCGAGGGCCCATTTTTCCCTTAACCATCATGGCGAGTCTGCATTTTGCGTGCCGAGGGTGTGGATCGGGAAGAGCGGATACCAGTCGAAAATAAACTCTTTCGGCGTCAGCAGATTGAGGTCCACTTCCGCTCCGCCGAGACCCTGATTGCTCTCGAAGCCTTGCTTTTTCTCCCACAACATCACCAGCAGGTGCTTGCCCTGCAGGACGTCGCAGCGACCATACTTCAACGTTTGCCGATACTGTGGATTCTTTGAGTGCCGTACTACGCGAGTCTTGCGCTTCTGCAGCCACTTCTCGCCATCTCGTTCTCGCAAGTACGTCTTCACGTAAGTATCTGCGGGTGAAGATAAAAATCTCGCCGTCAATCTACACTTGAGAAAACACTCTTAAAATCTGATACAATATTTGACGTATCTACAAGCGAAATATTGTGCTTTTTTTTTCTTCTGCCTGTGAATTTTTCATTTCTTTTTCTTGAGTTAAAAGACTTTTAATTGTTTTATAACTTAGACATAAAAATAGCTTTGAAATAATCGGAAAACTTTGAAAAATAGAGAAAAACACGCATTATTATTGTGGTAGATTTTATGAAAATTTTTTAATTAGTGAAATTATTAAAACTGAATTAATCTCTTATAATCCTCTGGAGATGTTTATAAATAATGTTGCATCGGTTAGTTTTGCCGCTGGTTCGCGTATAATATACGCTAATGACAAGTTAGCGAATGTAGGTCATCGTAATTAACCGGTTGAACGCTCGCTCGGAAATTTGTTTCTATACGCTAAAGTAATGCATGAATAATCAAGACACGCGCTGTAAAAGTAACGGTCCAGGAATTAACGTTCGTGTTAAAAGATCTCATACATATATTAGGAGAGTTTTATGGTAACTATTAACAGGAGCGAGTAATTCGTGTGAGATAATTAACAGTATAAAAGAGAGAAGATATACTCCTCAAAATTACCTGGCTCCTCCTTTTCCTCGAGACAGATATCCCTTGCACAGATAACTTCAACCTCGAGAGTTCCCTTGCATATATAAAAGCCCAGTTGCACTTCGCCGTTCTGCGCACCTGTAATGTTCGCAAATGCAATAAAATAGACGCAAAAGCGTGCAATTCAAGCAAAGATCATACTACAAATTTCTGATAAAATAAAAATCAATAAACATTCGAAGCTTAATGAATTAAAATCTGGTTTTAGGAGCCTGTAAGTTGCTAATTAAAAAATGTAAAATTATTGCAATCGAGTATATGTTGGATAGGATTTTTCGCGAGTTTGTATCGCTTTTAATAAGATAAAGAAAAGTTATAAAAATAAATAATTCGATCTTAAGATCACATAGGATTGGAACGGATGATTACCACTCATTATTTTGTATCCCTTCGGCAGCACCTGTCCGCGACCCAATTTTAGGTCAACGCCATTTTCATCTCTCGCCGACTGACTGTAATAATGAAAGTCACGTCATATAAATTCAATCATGTTTAACTTAATGAATATCAATGTGAAGTAATTCGAAGTTTCCGTGTACTCTTCTATCGTTAAATATGCTTCATTTGAAATACCAATAATGCGATAATACAAAGTATAATTGATGAATCGATAATAAACACGCTGAAAATGGAAATGGAATAGAGTGATTGATTCATTTTAACTTGTCACGAAAGATAGATCGCATACCTCCATTTCTCGTCTTCGTCGGATTCGCTGTTACGATCGTAAAATCTCTCAGGAATCTCCATTACGCTGTCTTTGCGCTCACCCCGCCCTACGAATTGAAAAAGATCTTTTCACATTATTGATCATCGACTGGGCTGCAATCTGTGTGTCGTTGCAAGAACAAATAGGAATTTATTGTTCAAAATATGATTTATTCATTTCTGTTTGTTCTGTAAGACTATTTTCTGAGTGCACGTCCACACAAATTGCAATTGAGTTATTGCGAAGAAAAATAGTTTACACCTGCCAATCAGAAGAATCAATTCTACGGCTTGTCGTTTCAAACTCAATTTTGCGACAGATTTCTCAGAGAAGCTTCCTACTAGACAATACGACAGCTGCAAAGCGTCTTCGATCGTATGAATTTCAGTGTGATTCTAATAATCTAAATTTTTTTATTGTATGTATCGTGATTTTCATCTTCCTTAAAACATTTTTAAAAATTTGCTTTTAGTATTTTTTATCATTGGCCGTCTTATTTAAGCGGTATCTAATATAAGCAGTGATAAAAGTTCTAAATACATTTTAAATCGCATTGTTAGTTAAAATATATTTATTATTACGAAGTATACGATAAAAAAATAGAAAAAAATTACATTTCCACGTGTGTATCATTTACAATAGTCTTTCATATAATAAATAGTGTACTATATTATATTTTTATTATATTTTTTTAATAATATTTAATATTTTTAAATTATCTATAATGTCAATTCGACTACAAACGAACGGACGGCGAATATGTCGATTCAATCGACGTCAATAGAGCTGCCGGCCAAGTTGCCGTGAAATTCAACGACCGAAACTGCCTGTGAATTAGATAGATGTATGTAATAAGTTTCAAACGCGTTCTCTCTACATAGAAGTAAGATACAAACTTCGGTTCCAAAGTACCAGCGATAGCAGGGAGTTTCAACTCTACGAAGAGGAAAGTTTGGTCTCGATAACTGTAATAAGATAATTAGAAGCTCGGAGAGCTTAGAAGTTCGTTCTTGTTCTGTTAACATATCCCGCCTAAAGTTCTTACTATTCGTATATTTACACTTCTTCATCATAGAATACAAAAGTACTCTAATTTTGGTGCATTCTTTACTAAAATTACAAGCGTTATTTATTAAGTTCATTCATTTATGTTTTAAATTAAAATTTCAATTTTTTTTCAGGTTCTTACTATAAAAAAATATCATTATATTATTATTGGTAGCGCAAAACATTTTATTGGTGAAAATATTTAATCAAAGTAGTTCTCGGCGATTTCCATCCATCACATTGCATTTTCCTTTTCTTTTCTTGACTATATTTGAGCGAGATTGTTTCGAGCCAGAAGTTTATTTCCTTCGATAATATTTTTTGAAGAATGTGGCGTGTAATCACATTTTCTATTTGTTATATAAAAATATTGTTAATATCTACTTCAAATATTACTAAAAAATATTTGAAAGTGTTGTGCAGTGGAAAGTCAATAAATATATATAATTAAGAATACAAATTACAAGCAAAGAGAGATGAAGAGCAATTGTCGCTAGACAATAGAACGTAAAAGCAGTATACTGATATCATAAAGTTAGTTTCTATCTAAAGATAGTTTATCAGATAAGTCAAATAAATGTATCAATAAAGTGTTACTTGTTAGGTGTTTATTGCGTTAATGCAATATTCAAAAGACATGCGATAATACAACAACATTCGGCTTTTCTTACCTAAGATCACGACTGTAGATAACAACAGTGGTAGCAGCAATTGGCTAGCGCTCATAATCTACGAATGCTAATAGTGCGTCTAAACGTATATTCCGAAGCATTATTATTATTTTTGCTTTAACTGCATAAAACGGTTCGGAAGAGAGAAGTAAAAAGAAGTCGTGAAGAGAGCGTAACGTTGATAAGGTACTTTCTTCATTACTCACCTGTCTACAGATAACTCGAAACATTGCACAATTTCCACAATGTTAAAAGTAGTTAAAAGCATTCCGATTCAATATGCATATGTTTTAATGAAAATATTGGGATTTTGATACAATTATAACGGTTGTTAATTAAACTGGATTTGTTACTCGAAAACCAGTAATATTTGATAAACGCGAATAATAACTTTGATTAAAATTTTCATGTAAACGTCGCGTATATTACATTTAAATTAAATGGTTATCTTAAATTCACGGAAGATATAATCTTAAGAAAAGAGAAAGAAAAAGATAAATGAGTTAATTAGAAAATGGCGAGGAGTTATACGCTAACTCTTAGTGTTTAGAAAGATTAAATAGACTAATAAATGAGAACAAAAAGTGGAATGAGATTAACGTAAGCAGGAATTAACGCAAGCAGAAAATTAATGACACATCTGAGAAGTTGCAAAACTAACAAAAGCATAATTAATCGCGTCATAAAAAATTATACCGTGATAGGATTACTAAGGATATGTGTGAAAAGGAGAAAAGTATTCCATGGGTGGAGTTTACCAGCACGTATCTTTTCTTGTCTTATATGATAAATGACATTGCGTGCGTCTTGGAATAATAGAATGTGGCGTGTATTGCAAGCAGTAGAAAGGAGAAGGAAACATATTAATGGCACGTGCGCGCAAAAAGATGAGCCAAATAAAAAAAAATTTAAAAATGAGAAAGCGAAACCCGAAAGCCGTCAGAACGGTATTCTTAATAAAAAATACATTGATGCACCTCTTCTTAATTTTTTTTTTTTATCAAGTACCTTATCCACGTAATCGATTAGTAAGAATTGCGGAAAAATAGAGCAGAGCAAGAAAGAATAAGAAAAGGAAAAATTAAATAAATAATTAATAATATTAACAGAATAAATCTATCATGTCATTGTATTATTATAGACATAATAAAATAAAGAATGAATTATATTACATTCAAACAAGATATCGTTCTTGGTAAAATTATTCTTCTATCAGAAATCTTTCTATTCTTAAAATATTTGAATTATAAAAAATATTTTTGTAACAAAAAGAAAAGTAAAATATGTTTCAAATTTAAAGACGTAGTTTAAGAATTGAAGAAATAAGATTTAGAAATTCTGTGTAGTAATAAACCTACCCTCTATTCTTTCTCCGCTGCGAAATAAATAACGACGCTGTTTGTTAGAAGGGAATGAAACTAAAGAGGCAAAAATTGGAAGCGAGATTCTGCTCAAGGTATACAGTACAGACAGACAGAAAGTAATAGAAAGAAAGAGAGAGAAAGAGAGAGAGAGAGAGAGAGAGAGAGAGAGAGAGAAGAGAGAGAGAGAGAGAGAGAGAGAGAGAGAGAGAGAGAGAGAGAGAAGAGAGAGAGAGAGAGAGAGAGAGAGAGAGAGAGAGAGAGGGAAAGAGAAAAAGCGATAGACAGTGAGCGACAGAGAAAGAGTGTGTCTTACCGGACGCCCTTAACGTTGGTTGACAGTGTCTTGCGGTTATTTATCGAGGTGATGTGGAGTGCGGCAGTGGGAAGGAGGCCGAGTTACCGGTCCTCGGAGACACAGGCTCGCACTGCCACACAGTAACTGTTGGGACTACGCACTCTGTTGTCGTTGTTGATGGTCGATGATGGTTGGTTGGTTGATTGGTTGGTTGGTGTGGTTTGTTGGTTGGTTGGTTGGTTGGTTGATTGGTTGGTTGGTTGGTCGTGCGTACGTGGCCCACGATATGTCGCCGATAATCGGGGTCGTAACGATGGCCAATGGCGTTTCGACCGAGCGAACCGAATGTTTCGCGATTCGAGTCGAATACGGAGAGCGTTCAGAGTTTTGGCGAACCGAGTGCCGACCGAGAAAGGATATATATCAAGATAATCAACAGTACAGGTACTGAATGTGCACGTCACGCTCGAGGCTGTGCACTTATGCGAACGAAGATGCACAGTCAACAGTCGGAGGGGGAGCGAGATACTGACTAGATGATTTGCGGTTCTTTTGGTGGCGTTGGGACGTTTAATGATCGCTTCCGAATATCCGACTTACTGGCAATGAGGTGGATATTGAGATACGCGAGACAACACGGTCGTAGTTTCAAGCTTGCGAGCGGGAGAAAGCGAGGAGAACGTGTAGGCAAGGATAATTGTGGGAAGCCCTTTAACTCGTCGCGCTGAACTCATTACGCTTTCATGTATCCCCCAAAAACGTCAGCCAGCTTATTTCTCATGCAATTCGCAGCCTAGTTTCTCGTAATGCAAATCTACTCCGAATTTTCATTACTGCTTTAGCAGATAGGAGTGGTAATCTCGTGGTTATTCGTTAAATTAGTGGAGTTTTATCTTCATGTCAGTTTCGCACAGAGTCGTTATTTCGACGTGAAATTTGTTAGCATTTTTTCTATACATTTAGCAAATTATCAACGATACATGCTTCGACAGATGCAATGCCAAGTCTGTTTCAGCATAAAGAGTACAAAAAAATTGTTAACAGAAACACAATACTGTTACTAAATATTAATTGCTTTAATCATTTATTCCTCGAACGAAAAGTCTTTCATGATTGATTTTACGATCGTATTATCATCGCAATCTATCCCATAGCATCCAGCACGTGCAGGAAGCCGCCAATTGAAGCGATCATTAAGCTTGAACGATGAAGAAACGATAATCTTGCTGACAAAACGATCAGCGGCGCATCGCTATTCTGACAGCTTAGTGTCAATGCGACAAATAACACTCGAAGGAGTGGATGAGAGGCTGAACAGCGTAAGAACAAACAAAGATAGATAGAAGAAGAGAGAGAGAGAGAGAGAGAGAGAGAGGAAGAGAGAGAAAGAGAGAAACAAAGAGCGCACGATTACGGCATAAAGTTACAGATGTGCGTGCAACGGCGCAAGAGCACGATAGCGAATTGTGTCTTTCGCTGTTCTGTGGTTTATCTGTGGTTACATCGGTAGAGTGGTGATAGTGGTGGCGGTGATAGTGCTCTTTTCCGCTTCACAAAAGCACGGAGCGCAGCGAGAGAGGGATCGGTATTCGAGTCGTTACTGTCAGGCTGTGAGACGGTACGAGCAGTCAGCAACAGGCAATAGAGACGCGCAACAGTGATCGCAACACAGATGAGCAGAGAGCACAGGTCGCGTTATCTTTCGTTGGACGGGCTGGAGAAATAAACATCGAATTTCTCCGTAGACCATTAAGCAGAGACAGGCACAGAGGCGAAATGGACACGGCGGCTTATGCTCGTTAAAACGTCGATTCAAGCAATTCCGTCGACCGGGACGATGACTCCTCGAGACGAAAAAGCGGAGGATGATTGACGAGCGAAGCTTGAGAAATTTCGCAGATCCAAGCGAAACGTTGCATGATGGATTGTCTCGATAGATTCCGAACGGATCTCGATGACTGAGACGCTTTTGCTTCTGATTCTGGCACGATTCCTTTCCGATGTCGAATTGGATAAATTCCTGCGCCCAGATCGGCAAATCTGCATGTCAAACTTGTAACAAATGCTCGCTGAAAAATTGCGACAGCCAGAAATGAGATAGGCGTCGAATCAATCCGGGACATTGAGCGTGTGAACGATGAGATAAGCGACGGAACGAGTATAAAACAGTAGGCGAGCGTCGAAGGTGGTCATCGTCATGGTCGACGTTCGATACGAAAGTCTAAAATCAATCTAATTGTAGTCGGAAATCTTGTCGACGTCCTTTCCAGGTCGGAATATTTCCTCTTTGATTCGTCCGATTCAGATGTCGTAAAAGATATGGCATTTAGCAAACAAACAAAAAGTTCCTTCGCATGTTAAAAATGTTCGCTCGGTCAAATCGCACAGGGTCGGCAGGACGTGATAGTGCGAGACATATAGTAATTGCATCAACATTCGGAAGGATGTAGAAAAATTAGAAAAAAGGATTCTCAATTTTACAAAATAGTCACATGTCGTGGACATTTATATAAATAAAAGTTATAAATGAAGGCCTACTAATTGTGATTAGAATATTTTCTTGTATTAATTTGACCGTATAATAAGTTAAAAAAAAAATAATAAATCACGAAAAAATGTTCTTTGATTTTCTTGTATAAAATAATGAGTAGTGCAAAAAAAACTGTAAAAGTAAAAATAAGAAAAATATCTAAAATCTTACCTAAGAGTTTTTTTATTCCAAAAATTAATATTTTAAGTTATTCTTAGTTACATAAGCTAACGCGCGTTAATAAAAAAAAGTATGTTGAAAAGTCGCAGAACGATTAATAAAAATTACTAAAATTTACGGTATAAACGCATAATTGTTTTCTAAAAATTAATCAAGAATAGGGAGAGAAACCAATATTAAAAAAAAGATAAAGGCAGATAGCGCACCACAACGAATGTGATCAAACATGTGAGACGATGTACGATATTCAGACAAAATGCACGCACGCACTCGCACACTTACGTACATTTAGATGCACGACTATGATAGAAAGGATGTTCATTAATGAGATTCGCGATGTCGATCAGACGGTGATGGTGACGCGATGGGCCGACGAGACGTTAAAGAACAGTAACTGTGACGAAAAAAGGAAAAGAGAAAAAGAGAGAGAAAGAGAGAAAGTGTGTTACAAAATGCAGTAAAAATGGTCGTGGAGGTGTGACGAGCGAATGGAGAGGTACAAAGACAGACAAACAGACGGACGACGGACGAACGAACGAGCGAAATGATGGCCAAGAGAAGCAAAGAAACGTTTATACTCACGGCTGCTACGTCTCTTGTCTCCGGTAAGGCTCATAGTCCTATTGAGCTCTCCCTTGGCCGCCTTCAATGATCGCAAACCCTCCAAGATCTCCTCTGGATCCCGCATCGGTCTGGTGAACGAACTTCGCCGTCGATCGCGATTGTAGTACACTATCGAGGACACGTCAGCTTCGCCCATACTTCCACCTGAAGCAAATTCAACCAGAAGCGATTAAATACGGTCGCAAAAATCAATATATTATTGTAGAACGGACGTTTGAAGTTAATGGCACTTTTTCTTAGTTTTTGTCTTTTAGTCTTAGTTTTTGCATTGGAACTTACAGTTAGATAATATAAAATTATTTAATTTGAAAAGTTTCACACCTGTATATGCCGATGTAACAATTAAATATTTATTATTATGCATTTAATATTTTTATTGCAAAATTGTTATCGCGATGTTGTATGATATTATTATTTTTCTGTTTTCTTAATGCTACTTCAATGCTGACTAATTTCTATACTTCGACACTGCGCGGTGTATCGATTTTTTCTGTTACCGACATTTACACGAACATTTTCCCGTTGAAATGACATAATCGAATAGCAGTAATCGAAGAAGTTGTTACTTAAGCGTACCGAGTACTTCAGAGAAGCACTCGAGGCTACCCAACAATAGCATCGCAGCCATTGTGTCGTTATTATCTTTGAAAAGAAGTAGAAGGAGGACAAGCTTGCCTTAGGGTGAGAGCTAGCTTGCAGCGGAAAGCGGAACAAAAATTATTGGGTCGAGTACCCGTAAACGACATTGAAAGTTTCGATAAGAGGATATTTCAAAAGACAAATTTCTGCAGCCTCCTGCGGATCTTCTATGGTTCTTTCTTATTTGCGTCATTCATCAGTCATACGCGAAGTCATTTATAATGTCAATTCAAAGACATATCGATCGTTAGAGAACGTATATATACGGGTCTCACGGTTTATTAACGAAAAATTCTAAATTTTTTTCTCATTATATAAATTTATATTATATCACACTTTTTGCATTTAAATAATAGCTATTGTTAAACGGAACGTTAACCATTAAAATTTCCTGAAAAAATTTATGCTATAAATTGGAATCTATATATCTTTCTAATTTAATTAGCTATAATATTAAATATTTTCGCAATTAAACTTGGTATTAATTTTCCCCGAGCAAGAGGATAATGGAAATGACTCGAGAAAGATCCTCTTATTGACGCGCCACTGCATTTTACGTTGTCAATTTATCTTAGGAAGAAAATGGCCTGTGTTACGATTTCTCTCGTAATACTCACGTTTACTATCGGTACCAGTTGGACTCTGGAAGCTGCTTCTGCGGCTACCCGGAAGGGATCTACTGTAATCCCGACTGAGCTCGTAAGGCTCGACCTCGAGTTGCTCGGACTGACTGGAACCGCGTCTAGAATTGGCGACCCAGGCATGGTCCGGATGCAAGAAGCAGAACTCTGGACTACCGCTGTCGCTCTGCGTATCGTCGCTGTAGCTACGATCTCGCAGTTCCTTTCTCAACAGCCTCTGCGCGATGTCCGTCGACAGTGAGCCGCGCGGCGAACAATACGGCGATTTGCCCGTTCGAAGTCCGCGCGGATCTTCCAGTCGATACCTGGATACATCACAAATTGCGATACTTTGACTTCAACGAGATTATTTTGCATTTAATTATTGCTTTAATTAATTTACATTTGTGACATCGTTCTGTAGAATTACTTAAAGTTGTGTATACGAGTATAATATATATTTTGATGCAAGTAGAAATTTTGTATTAATTTATATTAGATTTATAAAGTGACGAATTAATAATAATTAATAAATATCTTCAAATAATTACAATTTGGATTTTTTAAAATATTTGCTATTATTAATTTATTTTGAATTATTAATTATTAATTATAGTAGCATAAAAATGACGTTTTTTCGGACTTCCGAAAATAATTTAGAATTATTTTGCGAACTATTTTACCATGATAATCAGTTATGTCGTAAATTATAACAATTGCGTTCAATGTAAAGAATTTTTTAATCTTCGTTCATCGAAATACACTTACCAAACTGCTCTATCATTTTCAAGCGCTCGCTGAACATCAACAGTGCATTCGCCAAGGAACACATTATCACCATCGGGACAGTAATCCCAGAGAGTCACCTCGATCGCACGTTCCATCAGACTCTCGCCATCAACTCCGGTAAAGAACAATGTAGCGTTCCAGATAGGTTTCTGGGTCGGCTCGGCCACGATAGTCTTTAGCGGAACTGTGTCGCCGCTGTGAAGGCCGCAAGTGATTAATCAATTCCTCATTTTAAATATTGAAGCATATAGATACAACAAACAAAATAAATTAATTAAAATAAAACACTGTTGACTTGAATATATAAAGTTCTTGAAAAAAGTAATTAAATAAATAAATTCTTTACACAAAACTACTTATTAAATATTATTTGAACATTATGTTTAAATTTTATATAGATTTTTGAGAAACTTATATCAAATATATAATTGTCGCTTCGCTTTCTGTTTAAAATGTAATAATTTTTGTGTGATCAGAAATCAATTTTATAGAAGATAAGTGCGTTGGATATTTTTAATTCAAAAATTTACGAGTTGATCATAGACTTACCTTGGCGGGGCAAGAATAAGCTTAGCGAAAGCTTCTGGTAAGGTGCCGAATCCACTATCCTCTCGCGCACATAAGTCGTCGGCCATAAAAACCGAAACGATCAATTCTCTACGCTCGCCCTCGTATGAAACCTGAATCTGTACACGACCTGTCACCTGCCTCTCCTTTGCTATTTGCTCCTAAAATATAGGAAAGCGGTTTTAATCCCTCCGATGCGTCACGATAGAAAGGGTCAAAGATTTCTAAACCTGCGAGTAATAACGAATGTTCCTCTTATTTTCCATAAAATAAAATTTCCAAAAAAATCGATAAATTATTAAAAGTATTCTTAAAGGCATACATAATAATAATAATTTTAAAATATAAATGGAATAGCATTTAAATATTTTATGTTTACCACTTTAACAATAATTGATAAAAGATAAAGACAAAAATAAAATAAAATAAAATAAATATCTCTCTGCTAGAACATTTTATAGAATTTTTTAATGGAACTTTCGTGCGCCACTCGCGGCTGTCATGTAGAGCCGAAAGCGGAATTAATTTTGCATGCAGAAGCAGTTTCGCGGCAGAGTTCTGTTGAGAGGATAAAACAAAGAAGAAGAAATGGGCAAACTAAGAGCAGTCCTCGAGATTCAGTTTTAGTGTCAAGACCCATTCCGTGTCAGACCATATAGCATAGCAATTATAGGGTATATAGTTGTATATGTGTCGAAGAATGTAGTCCTAGAGAAAATACTAATCCCGTACGAAACCTCGCTTCAACATAACTTTTATTTAATATCTTTTTTAATTAATATAATTATTAAATTGCAATCAATTTCTCATTGTTAATTTGTATAATTGAAATATGATGTATATAAAAGATTCAAAAATCTCCGAGATTCACATATTTTAAAATTCTATTCCTAAGTTGTTTGGGACTTATTCTTTTAAGGCGTCTTATATGATACTTTTTCGCATCAAAACATTAAAATAATCATAACTCTCTTCGAAGTAGTTGTAAGAGAAGACATATCATTGGACTACAACCTTGGACATGCGATACAGTCAAGAAAAACGTTCGTTTAAGCAGCTCTTCGCCAATTCATTAATCTTTTGTTTTGCCAGTACGATTAACGTCTTATATATTTTCTTCTAAATCTTCTTTTCCCTTCCGTGTATTCTTGTATTTCGCTGTTTTCACGATATTCTTCACACACATCTCCTCTGCATTCTAATCTCGCATGCCTTCTTCGTGTATACTCAAATCTTTCATAACTATGAAAACATACGTTGTCTATATCTGTTTTTTTACACGTACGGTTTTTCCGGACTGTAAGCTGTTTGCTACGTATTTAAAATATGTATTCATTAAAAAAGTTTTTCTCTCTACGCAAGCAAACACATGTACACTCCAGGCCAAAAGTTTGGATACACTTAACAAAAATGTGATAAATTATTATAAAAAATATTTTATTAGAAAAAGTTGTTATATTAAATTCAAAATAATCTGAAATTATTAACTAAATTAATAAAAGAAAAATATTTACAGTTTAACATAAATCTTACACTTTTTCAAACATAAATCTTAAACGTCGAAAAACCCTTAGCTTTCAAAACCGCATTTACAAGTCGTGGCATTCTGGCGACAAGTTTATTTAGTGTTTCTTGTGGCAGGGATGTCCAGGAATCTTGTAACATTTGCCAAAGTTCAGGAGCTGACGATGGATACACCAGGCGGACTTTTCTATCGAGCTCCTCCCACAATAATTCGATAGGATTAAGATCTGGTGATTGCGGTGGCCAGACCATGTTCGAAAGAGTGCCATTTGCTTCTTTTCCTTCAACAAATCCTCGACAAAGACGTGAGCTATGCTTTGGATCGTTATCCTGTTGCAGAATGAATCCTCGGCCGATTTTTCTAAGACCGGAGGGTATCGCGTGCGTCTGCAGAATCCGTTTATAGTCTTCCTTTTTCATAATACCTTCAATTTTTACAAGATCTCCAGTGCCATGTCTCGAAAAACATCCCCACACCATAATGAAACCACCCCCATGTTTTACTGTGAGCATTATGCATTGTGGCGCCATTTTTGCTGTACTGCTTCTTCTCACGTAAATTCGCCTACGGGTGCCAAAAAGTTCAAACTTTGATTCATCAGTCCATAGAACATTTTTCCATTGTTCCAATGTCCAATTTTGATGCTGCTGGGCCCATTGTAGACGTTTCTTTTTATTTATAGGACGCAGTAAAGGTTTTTTGACTGCCACACGGTCTTTGAGGCCTGCATTTCTCAAACGTCGTTTTACTATAGTGAGAGAGACCGCATTATCACGGCTTCTGTTCACTTCTGCACGGATTTCAGATGCTGTTAATCGTCTATTTCGCTTGCTTGTAACCACCATATACTGATCCTCTTGAGAAGTGGTTACTTTTGGGCGTCCTGAGCGAGTACGGTCAACCAGACTATCAGATGTCTTGTAGCGCGCTATGGTAGTTTGGACACCCTTCAGCGACACTTTCATTTTTTTTGCAATAATTCTATATGACTGACCTTCTTTGTATAAAGTTACGATAGCACTTCTCTTATCAATTGAAATTTCTTTAGATTTTGCCATGTTTTCTATAAAATTATCAATTTACAAAGCCAGTATTAATACACTTGTTAAAGCTTCGCTGTCGTTTTCACTATTAAGGTTTATCTGTTTTAGCATACACAAACAAGTCCGCAATGCACTTCAAAGTGTTTATATTATCGCAAGCAAAGCATTAACACAAGTAGTTACTTACAGAAATTCGAGTACGTACAAAGAACTTTTTTCAAGTGTTTAAATAAATATGCACATTACTCAAATTTAATTAATTTACCTCTCTGGTACATTTAGACTTAGGCATATATGCATTTTCTAAATACCTAATAGGATAATAAACGCAATAAGTATAAAAGAAAATACTATAGAAGCAAAAAATTCCGTTTAAGCACATTTAAATGCTGCTTAGAGCAATGTATCCAAACTTTTGGCCTGGAGTGTATATTATACTGTCGCAACGCGCTTCTTCGGCTGCAATACGTTACATTATATAGCGATGTAAATATTGAAAATTATAAATCAGTCACAGTTTATTGTCTGCAATTTTAATACTGCAGCAATTAAGATAAATGTGCCGCATTGTTATTGCCTCTTAAGAAACTTATTTGTGCAGGTTGATTATATTACTGTTGTTCGTGAAAGTTAAAATCAATTGATATTTTACTACGATATTCCTGTGAAACGTCAGTTCCTGGAATATAATATGAGTTTGCGATATGAATACAAATCTAATATCCTAATTTCAAAACTGAAATTCGATACGATATGGTAATTTCATGAATAAACTTCTGAATGTATGCTAATTTCGGAATTGTATTTTAACGTAGTATAGTGATACACGTAATTTTTTCGACAAAATAATATTTTTATAAAACAACATTTATGGCAATTTTAGATTAATATATAATAATAATTTTAAACTATAATATTAATTAAAAATTTTTTAATTACAATAACGAAAAACTTTAATTTTGCCAATAGAATACAAAATTAAAATTAAAAACAAGTTTTGTTAAAATAAAATAAAAGTAAATTAAAATAAAAATAAATTAACCGTTTGATTGCCAAAGATGTTGCAAATATATGAGCGAAAAGTGCTGTGCGTAGCGTGATTCTGCTTCTTTTATTGATATCGAAAAATACCAAGTATTGCGCTTTTTTTATCTTACTAATTAAATATTTAAAAATAGCTGTTGTAAGATAATTGTGTTTAGTATATTTTTCCATTTTTTATATAATTAAAAGATTAATTTAACTTCTCGAAAATCAGAGCTTTTACTGCAGCGCTCGTTGACACATGAAACAAGAGAAGCATTCAAATAATTAACAAATATTTTAATATTTATGTAAAATGTATATTGGCATGTAGCCATTACAATATATCTCTTTAATATAGATGAAAACAAAAAATAAAGGTAACGCGACAAAGAAAATTATGGTAATCTAGATTATGCTTGGAAAGAATTTTCGCGGATGATCTCTGTTAGATCTTAAGCGCGGTTTCGGTAATAGGAATAGAAACGTTATCATGGATAAAAGCGAGTAAGGATGAGAGAATCTTTTTATCCCGAAAGTGGAAAGTGAAAAATGAATTTTAATGAAGATAGCGATGAGATTCTAGAAAGAAAATCTCGGCGAAAGTAATCTAACCGCACACTTTTGCCATCTCTATTATCTCTCTACATAATAGTTTTATATGTATATTAAAGTGAGATCACCGAATTTCACCGTTGATAAAATTATGCGCCGACATTGAAATAATATTTGTCAATATTCTTCGCCCGAGAATTAATCTGTCATGAATTGCCAATGTTTTATGACACATTTATTATGAAGTTAGAAAGGAACGAAAACGATTGAATTAATAATCATGTATAAATAATAATGTTTTCATAGCAAAATTTTGGTTGTAATTTTTGTCAAACATCTTTTCCGTTTTGACTACTATCTATTCGACGATTACACTTGCACAGATCCATATTTTGAAGCCGAAGAAGAGCCGCGACAAGCATTTCATGTACATTGTCAGTCTACGGTTGTTTCCAAAGCGCGCGTTTTCCCAGTATAGTTAACAACCGATCGGCACTGTGTGATACGTTTTGCAATACCATTTCTTTCGCTTTCGAAAAATATATCCAATGCACTCGATAGAAGTGCACACGGTTCATGAAATCTGCGCTCGCACATATCTCGCATTTCGGTATATGATACTGGGGAAAGCGACAATGTGACAACAACCAAACGCCCGCGTTTCCATCCGAGCGATCCACATAACGCTCGTTACCGTGAAAGATTATCGGCTTCGTCTGCTCGTACAAACACTAGATGAAAACGCTCGCATTCAACCCCCGCAACAATAAGAATCGAACAAACGGAAGCTGGTGAATGCCCGTTTATATTTGTTTGCCGCTAAGCACACGATGAGCGCGTTGCGTATCCGCGGGGCATTGAATCGTCAACATCTCGACTATTAGTCGCAGCATTACAACAATTGTAAGCGCGCCACGTGAGATCTTGCAAAGAGCGGAAAATCTGTGCGGTCGGTCGGTCGCATCGCGAACAATATTAGAACAATGCGCTTGGACGTTTGGCATTTGTGCATCAC